GTGTGTGTGTATATATATATACACACACACTTTCTTTCTATATATATATATATATATATATATATATATATATATATATATATATATATATATATATAAATAAATAAAATAAGAGACAAGTTATGTTTCCATCGATAAATGCAAACGAACTGTGTGCAAAGCTGGATTATCGCATAAAAGACATGCGAATAAAGCAGCGTTTCCATCTAACAAGTCAAAGCGAACAAAATCGCCACTTCTTGATTAACTGGCACCAAATATCAACAGTAAGAAATCTCTTATGACACAATCACATGACCTTTTTTAATGCGCATGCTGAAATTTGTGTGGTAAAAGTGTTTCCATCGTAGTTTATGCACATCTTTTCTTATCAAATAAAACGTTTCTCCTACTCAATTATGCGCATACGCTTATGCGGATTTTAAAAATGTATGCGCATCATGGCGTTTCCATCAACCGTTTTTTTATGCGCATATGCAAAATGCACATAAAAATAGGTGGATAGAAACATAGCTACAGACAACTATACTGAACTTTGTTGCATAGATATTCAAAATTATAATTTATACCTAAATATAAGTAACCATTTTCAAATATTTGCATTTATGTGTGTATTTATATTGTACTTGCACGTGTCAAAACAAACATGTTATGGATGGTTTTATGTTGCGTCTCTTTGGCATCACACTTACAGTGTTGTATTCTCCTTCGAAGACTTCCTCACTCTCTGTTGACTTAGCAGTCACTTTAATTCGGCCAGGAGTTCCAGCTTCCAGCTGCTCGATCTGTGGAAAAATACACCCTGAAATCACTGATGCTTTATCAACTGCATGTGTAAAGAGGCCATGATTATAATACTCTTCCTCAGGAGCATTTCATAACCACAGCAGCGACAGATAAGACATCATTTCAGATTTCAGTAATGTTTAACAGCACACACACACACACACGAACCAACCTTAGTGGGAACAAACTTCCTGAGGAATTTGACCCCGTGTGTCTCCATGTATTCTCCTGCACGGTCAGCCATGTCCTGATCAAAGCCTCGCAGCAGAATAGAGCGAACCATGATGGTCACATCCAGCCCCAAACCAGCCAGAAAGCCACCACACTCCAGAGCCACATAAGAGGCTCCCACCACAAGAGTCTTCCCAGGACAGTAGGGCAAAGAGAACAGATCATCACTGTAGGGAAAACCAACAGAAACACAGCAGAGATGGATTATGCATTCCTCAAATGTAGCAAACATTCTGAAGCAGTTAAAGAGACAGTTCACAATTAAAATAGTCATTATTTACTTGCATAATAAGGACAACGAATACTAAGGAAGTCAACGATTACAAGCTTTATTAAAAAGCCTTCTTTAGGTGTTCAAGAGAAGAAACTTAAAGGTTTGGAAACACTTGAGGTTAAGTAAATAAGTACATGTGTGAAAGTCTTTTTAAATATCAAAAGAGCTGGCAAAGAAAAACAACTATAATCCCTATATAATAGATAATACCAATACAGGGCTCGAAATTATATGCGCCCGAAATTTAAGCTATGCAACCTCATAATATATATTGGGAGCATTCGTGCGACTGCATATAATGGTTGTAGTGCGACCTGTTTTGGTTTTTTTCTAAAAACGTGGTAAAACCGCTATATTGGTTCATATTAGCTGTCAATCACTCAAGACTTTCCGCTGTCAGATGAGGGAGGGAGCTTTTGTGACCGCGGGGAATGCAAACGGCTAAAGAGTGAAAAGTACACTGACTCTCGATGCGCTGCATGCACCGTGTTCAGCCAAAACAATCTCACGGCAATTCGTAACTTTTTCATACGTTTCCTCGTGAGATCAGGCTGCAACAGCGCAAATGTCCACTAAAACACCATCACCAAAGAAGCTCGCCTTAACTGAGTTTAAACTGATGCGGGTTATAACAGAGAACAGTATTGCGCCGGTGGTCATCGGGAGAATCCTGCTCTGCCCCCCTCATATATTGGGCCGGCTGACTCGCATGCTTTTCCGCAAACACAGAAAGATGTAATTCAGCGCGTAACGAGGCTGAGCATTAAAACCACACAAACCGAAACCAAAACTTTTATAAGTGAGACTTTTCTTCCTTACCTGTCCGTTCTTTCTTGAGGTGTAGATTATTCTTCTATTTAATTACTGATGACTGCTTTGCAGCTTTCAGCATTGAATTGAATGATTTATTATATTATTTCGTTTGTTTTGTAGCAGAAATAGGCTATTATTTATTAAATTGACGTGCATATAAAAACAGCAGAACAAAATAAATATTTCTTACTACAATGCTTCATTTGTGTTTGATGCAAACCATCAATTTATTTTTCATAAAGCAACAGCAGGACATTATATAGCAGATTACTTACATTAAAGCACATTCAAGGCAGCATGATGATGAGAAATATAATTCATTATGAGTATTATTGTCATCATCGTCATCATGAATATTTTATAATTATTCAACATTCATTTTGGAATTGTTGCACAAATATTAAGTCATCACAGCATTAGTTAGAGAGTTGTTTCTGGGTTTTGTTAGTCCCAATTGATGTTGTTTTCAAATACAATAAATCCCTTAATATACAACTTGTCAAATATATCATTCATCTTTGGAGGGTGCTCTTAAATTTTTCAGGTTGGGAGCACCGGTGCTACCAAGTAAGAAAGTTAATTTCGAGCCCTGCAATACCAATAGTAACCAATTATTATGAAAGCACAATAACATTTTCCAAGCACTTTATCAACAAACTGAGCACTTCCCCAATCTTGAAAACACAAAGTTAAAGCTGAAGCATCTCCAGCACCTGTACGAACCCTGATCAGGGGAAGCTTTCGTTCCCTTGGCGAGTGAGAATGAATCAGCTTTAATCAATAAATCCTGTAAATAAATCAGCACAGCTGCAGTAATGACCCCCTGAGGTCCAGCTGCATTTATCCGGCTCTCCAGAGGAGGTTTACCGCGGTGAGCTCAGTTTCAGCTCACCTGGTGATGCAGAACTCTTTGTCTCCCGGGATGCCCAGGTAACGAGGCCTTTCTCCAGTCGCCAGGACAAACTGAGCCGCGGTGTAGAACGTCTCTTTGCCACGCTTGTTTGTGGCCTGTTGAGAAGAGCAAATTAATAATAAGTAACAGCAGCTTTAAGCATATTGTGACTGGAGATGCATGTAATTATGACTGATTTCAAATGTTGTTTAAAATGGAAGTTGCGTCGAAAAGCTTAAAACATAAAAAAAAAATAAAAAAATAAAAAAATCTTTGTGGTGTATACAAAAGCCAACACTTAAAACACGGTCAAATCCCTCAATGAATTCCACTAAAACTAGGACATGAATTTACAGCAAGTTTGTCTCACACTATAATAATTTCAGGCGGTATAATAATAATAGATTTTAAAAACCTGCACTCAACATCAGATAATGCATAGCAGTTTCTAGAATTTAAAACAGCAATGCAGAACAATAGAAAGATCTGTCAATAGAAAATCTTTATGCAAATTAGCCAACATTAAACAGTTACAAACTATAGGGAACGTTTAAAGACATTGAATTAAATGACTTTTAGAAATACTTTATGGGCTCTGTAGAACCATTTAAAAACACTTATTTGATATTTTATAACACATATATGATATTTTTATACAAGCTTTTAATTACTAATGGTTGGCTGTTAGTAAGTTTATGTGGCATTTGTACAGGTGATATTTAATCCGTTTTATCTGTTGTTGTTGATTTTTTTTTTTTACTATACATCACTTTGTGAATGCTTGTCTGTAATTATATTTCTTATGTAGGTTATATCATCTATAGCGCAACATTTTTAGTGGAGTGAAATAGGTGTGAACAGGCTATTAACAATTACTAATGTTACGTTATTAGTGGACTAGACCTGCAAATCCGTAAATGTGACCGATTTAAACCAAATTCCATTTATAGCATCAATTATTATTTAAAAAATTAAAAACAGCACCCATAAAAACCAAGTATCTGCATCTTTTGCATGTTCATGAACTGCTGAAAAACGGAAATACTTAGTCTTTACATTCAAGCCATCCCTAAAATAAACTAATAATTTTAGTCTTAAAAAACAAAAAAGGTAGAAAAAACCCATCTAACTGCCTTTGCATTCACGCTGTATATGGACCTGTAATGAATCTCTCTCATCCAATTTAGCTTTAAATCATAAACTCATTGTCATTCAGAAAGCCTCTTATGAATATATTATAACATATGAATATATTAGATTATATAATATCCAGTATAACTGGTTTGCTGGGTCAGAGCACACTTGCCTTGATCTTGTGCGGCTCCACAAACTCAGCATAAGCGTTGACATAGTTGACGTTTTTGTCCCTTAGGGAAACCCTGTAGCCCCAGTTCAGTGACCCAATGTAGTTATTCACTGCAGTCTTCATTGTTTCCCAGTTGTGTGTCACTTTAATAAAGAGCAATATTTTATGAGAACATATTTTTGAACTTGAGGAATCTACATGAGCAAGAAGAAAAAGTTATGCGTTACATGTTATGTGTGCTACATGTTATGGATGAGGACTCCAAAACAAATCTAGCTTTGACACAAATAAAGTAACCTAAATATGAACTCCTATAAGAGTCTTTAGCAACATTAAGCAATGCAAGATTACACTCAAAAAATATATAAAACTCTGACAGGGAAAGAGGAAATCAATCTGCAACAGTGATGTCTCCATAGCAGAAATCTCACAATTGCATCATAACATAAACAACCGCTTACTGCTGTAAACTCATAGCAGTTCAATCTGACACGCACTTCTTCAAGCCATTTCTATCTGCAGTGCATTCAATCATGTGATGCAATTCTTGTCTGGCTCACAGAGTTTAACAAACAACAGATCTCCTTCACACATGTACCACCATGTACCATCAGCAACTTCATAGCAGTGTAGAATCTATGGCTCACCCTGTTCAGCGAACTCCCATCCAAACTTGCGAGCGTCCTCCATGGCTGTGCCCAGCAGTGCTGTTTGGTGCATCAGTTTCTTAGGAATACAGCCCACATTCACACATGTGCCGCCCAGACCTGGAGGAGACCACATATTGAGACCTTTCTACAAGTACATATAGGCCCGTCACGATATCTATTATTTGTTGTATGGTATATTGCACCAAATATATTGTAATAAACGATGTTATTGTCATTTTAAAGACCATTTATGGAACTGATTATATAATGCCAGAATGATAAATGAAAGGTTCATATAATGTGTTCTTGCATTAAGTATAATCACTTTAACAATTTAATAATGAAGCATTGGAATCAGAATGTGAAAACGTACATCTAAAGAAATAATAATAATAGTTAATAAAAAAGGTCCCAAGTAAAAAGTAACAGAGGCTGCGATATCTTTTACCAGATCTACTTTCAGTTGTCAGAGACCCACATGAAAAAACACTAGTAAATTATAGTAAATACAAGTGTTTTTTTTTTAACCATACTGACACGGACACCTCCAAGATAGAGAGATAAAGATGTTGCGCAATCTGTTTAAAGTGTTGCTAGAATTGCTTTTTTTTTGTAATGTACGGGCGATTTTTACATTGCATCACCAAAAATTGAGGTCATGTCCATGTACTGTAGGATAAGTCCATATATTGATTAGTGCAACAGGCTTAAGTACATACTTAAATTGCATAATTCCTTATTGTAGAATACTCACCCCAGGCTGTGCCCTGTGGTGTTGGAACAACATAATCCAGAACCATCACCTTTTTACCCAAGGTTGCTGCTTCCTGTTTGGGCATGAAAGGGATGTTACAAAAATAAAACTAAATGAAATAAAAAAACACCACTTGAGCACAAAACCTTAGAGGTACCAAAGTTTGGCTTGAATTTTTATATTAAAAAAAAATCAGCAACAATTTTACATGATGGCAAGATAATGGTGGCAACATAAAATATACAGAGCAGGGGTTTCATTTATAACCTCATCGTCACGCAAAAACTGTGATCCATAAAAAAACTTGATGGGGCAATAAGGGCAGCTGTAAGTTAACTCGAAGTAAACGTACTTAAATATTGACTTGATGGTTATGGTTTATATGATGATTTGAAGTGGTTCAAATAATAAATTAATTAAATTTTAATTCTAGAGGTGACGCAGTGGCGCAATAAGTAGTGCTGTTGCCTCACAGCAAGAAGGTCGCTGGGTCGAGCCTTGTTCTCCCTGCATTCGCGTGGGTTCCCTCCGGGTGCTCTGGTTTCCCCCAGAGTCCAAAGACATGATGACAGGTGAATTGGGAAAGCTAAATTGTCCGTAGTGTATGAGTGTGAATGAGTGTGTGTGGATGTTTCCCAGAGATGGGTTGCGGCTAGAAGGTGATCCAAAGTGTAAAAACGTGCTGGATAAGTTGGCTGTGGGGACCCCGGATTAATAAACGGAATAAGCCGAAAAGAAAATGAATGAATGACTTAATTCTACTGTATGTTAATATTTTAAAAGGTTTCAATGCACATTTTATAAATCAGATACCCAGGAACTTTAATATCAAATGAGCATCATGTAAAATAGTGCAACATCAGATAATTAAATTTCAGTGAACCATATAAAATACATAGAAAATAAATTACATAGAAAATAATTTTTTGGTTACTGAGTAATTAGCAATAAATAACACTTTAAAATAGGAGTTTCCATGTGATTTTCTAAACTAGTAGCGTTTTGAAATTAATGAATGCATAATAAACGTGATAACTGTGAAAACATGTTTATTCCTCAGACTATAATTGTACAACCAAACTCAATCATTGCATCCCTAGTCCTAACAATATTATCTTCTCAAATATTGTTAAAATTGGGTATAAATTAGCCTTAAAATCATGTAACATGAGCTCATCTTCTCAAATATTGGTAAAATTTGGTATGAATCAGCCATAAAATCATGTAACATGAGCTTATCTTCACAAATATTGGTAAAATTGGGTATAAATTACCCTTAAAATCATGTAACATGAGCTCATCTTCTCAAATATTGGTACAATTTGGTATGAATCAGCCATAAAATCATGTAACATGAGCTTATCTTCTTAAATATTTGTAAAATGTGGTATAAATTAGCTTTAAAATCATGTAACATGAACTTATCTTCTCAAATATTGGTCAAATTGGGTATAAATAAGCCTTAAAATAGTGTAACATGGGCTTATCTCCTCAAATATTGTTAAAATTGGGTATAAATTAGCCTAAAAATCATGTAACATGAGCTTATCTTCTCAAATATTGGTCAAAATTGGGTATAAATTACCCTTAAAATCATGTAACATGAGCTTCTCGTAAAAACAACTTACTTTGACAACAAAAATACTTGAGACAGCAAGTGAAACAGCCATTTGAAATAGCCATTTCGCCAAGTTCTTGCTTGTATACAAATCCTACATACACATACATTAAAGCTGTGACATGAACATCAAACAGGGCAAATCCATGTAACCCGAGCCCCAGTTTGTGATTGAGAATGTGGAATGTCCCGAATGACCTGAATTAACCCAACACACACACATGCAGTATTTAAGCAGCTTCATAAGTGAAGGATCTTTTAACCTCTTTGAAACCGAACTCGCCTTTGAACAGGCCAGACCACCTGATCCACCGCCGATGACGATGAGGTCATAATCGTACACTTCACTCCCTTCGCCCAACAGCTTCTGCAGGACGCCATCTTTGTGTGCCTGTTACCACAACAACAAACCAATCATCAGCAGCATAAAAAGCATGCTGATAAGAGCCATCATGAAGAGGTGCTTGTGCATTATTCAGCTCTATTACTGAAGGTCTTTCCCACAGAGCTGCTTTACACGCCATTGTCAAAGGCTTTTATAGACAGCTGACAGATCTACAGACACATGCATTACTGATAGAAACGTCTGATCAGTGTCTGTTTTTAATAAGCAGCTCTCTGATCAGCTAACTAACACGTTCAGCAAGTAAACTGGCCACGTTTTAGCACACAATGAAGAGCTAAAAAGGCTCCACTATCTGGTAAAAAAATAGCGTAGGTGAATTCTGGTTAATATATTTCATTTTATGCATACTAGATGAGTCTGAAGTAACAGATTAAGTAAACTAGAGTCCTGAAAGCATATTGGAAAAATTTATAACCATCAATACATGTACCCCTACTATAATATAAAAGGTTAGGATTAAAGTATGGGGTTACTGCATGTAAATATGCATGATTCTCAATTCAAACATGTAACGTCTCAGACAATGAGACATGTAACACTAAAATAAACGGTTACAGAAATGCAGCTAGATTACTTTATACTGCTGCTTATGATTACTTGCATTACTATGGCAATTCCCAGTGCTGACAATACCAGTATGTGCAGGAAATTTACTCAAAGATAAACCCTTAAATGAATAAAAACATTAAAATAATAATAAAACAAGAAAAAATAATAGGGAAATAATAAGAAATTGCATTACATTAATAATAGCAACAGAACAATCTAACATTAGACATTAGGATTTCATTGGAATTAGTGTAAAAACCACACCCTTAAAAATCTAGACACACTCTTATGCTTAAGAAACTGCTGAGTGTGAAACTGCCCTTTATAGAACAGTCTCAACGTGAATAAAGGGCAATTTTGTTCATTAAATGGGATAAGATACCTACTTTTCGGCCTGCATAAATGTTGGAATAAGTTAAGATTAAGTTAATTGTCTATAATAATAATGAACTTTACACTTCTTCAGCAACTAAAAGGGCGTGTAGGTGAAACTGAACGTTCAGTACTAGCTCAGTCACTCATGACCATCAGCTCCTCTAGAAGTCAAGCAAGAACTGCTTTGTGAAATGGGAAAATAACACTTCATACTAAATACAACACTAAATACATTAGAAAAACCTTTTGGCATGATATTATCAT